ATCCCACGACCAGAGCGACAGATACAAAACATGCAGCGTATACAGCACAATGCACAGCCCCGTCCACAGTCGTAGCAAGCTCTGCTTCCTCGGCTCCGGGCGATCGAGTCTGAACACGCGAATCGGCGCATAGTAAAGCCCATACAACACATTCGCGCCCGCCGCAAAATAATCCAGCTTCTCCGTGAGCCCCGTGTCCCTGGTGTGGAAAATCATGCTAAACGTCCAACTCGCTAGCCCCACATAGCCAAACAGCAAGTAGTATTTCCGCAGCGCATACGACGCCGGGATGCGTTCGCGTAGGCGTGTCATACCCCAGTCGTGCGCGAGGTAATTGAATAGCGAAAAGATGACGGAAAACGGTTCCTGGACCCCGAGGAAGCGGTAGAACGGCCACTTGCCGTGGAATTGATATACAGGCTGCATGTACGGCGGGTCGCGCGCAAGCCGCTGCTGCGTAATAATGTGTTGGCACGTGTAATCGCATTCCGAGGGACAATCCCAGAGGAGGAGACGGCGGTGGAATGCTATTATGCGTTAGCCATGTACATACTTTGCTACCTCCCTCCATCCCCATCCCCATCTCCCAAACGAAAAGAAGCCAGGGATTAAGCAAAGCAAAGCAAAAAAAAACATACGTATATCAACCACCTTCCCCTCCCCACAATTCGCCTCAGTACAAACCCTCACACACTCCCTAAACTCCGGTAAATGATCCCCCATGGATGCCCGTGCGACTCCGCATAAGAGCGCAAACATCACCACAGGCCATTGCACACCCTTTCGCACTTTCATATCTGTTTCGTTTTCGATTTCAATTTCGAGAGGATTTGGCGGCGCACCGACCAGCGGGAATATGTAGTATGTATATAAAGGGGAGCAAGGCAACGCAAAAGCGATAACGACAGGGTTGGGTTGTTTTGCAGCAAAGTCGCGTGTTATCTGGCGTTTGTTGGCGTCGCTGGCGGGTGGATCGACAGGGTCTTGGCGAGTGAGTCCGGTAACTCCGGGCTTGCTGAACTTCCCTTTTGTCGATGCTGTATATATTTTACAGCATTTCTAAAACATTCATAATCACACAAGGGCGTATAGCTCAGTGGTAGAGCGCCCGCTTTGCATCAAGCAAAATTGCGGGAGGTCTGGATTTCGATCATCCATCCGTCCACAGCTGAGTAACCGAGTCCATTGGACTCATCCCCTCTTTTTTTTCCTTTTTTTTCTCTTCTCAACATCACTAACACTACGCCTGTTCCCTTCTTCACCCCTCTTTTTTTTCCCGTCCATTGGCATTATTCAATGCACTCAGACGTCATAGCCTACCCTCAATACTCCCCCTAACAAAAGCATTATGTCGATATCGTCATTCTACATGATTCTTTTCTTGTTCTTCACAATTGCACAAAACACCACACACTGGATGACAAAAAAAACATGTAGCTTCGTTAAAAAAAACCCCCCCACAAAGACGTGAAACAAACTCCCTCCCCGTGCGTGCATCATGACAGCTTATATCGAATATGGAATCTGAAGAACAAGGTCTAATAATCACATTGTGTAATATTCCAACAGATGATATATATGATTGCACGCTTTTGTCTTGATTTTTTTCTTCTTCTCCTATGTAGCTTCTTCTGTTGCACCCTAACACACCATGCATACCAGTCCAAACATCTAACCCAGCTAGCTAGTCCAAGAGAAACCCCATTATCATCATCGTCGTATAACACATGAGGAAAGCTAACTACCGACCTGGTGGCAGATCAACCAACCATCCAACCAATCCCCTTACAAATAAAAACAAGACGGCGAGGGTAATAGTCCTATCAGAAGAAGAAGAAGAAAAAACCCGTCATATATTTCGCCGTGTGGAAAACCCCCATAGATGCTAGAGAAGAGGTAGACACACATGCACACACACACACACACACACGTCTAAACTTTAAGCCTGAATAGCGCGTCCCAACGCACCACCTGTAAACTGCTGATTCCTGCCTCCCCTTGGGCCTCCGCCTCCGCCCCTGCCGCCACCGCGGCCGCCGCCTCCCCTACCGCCACGGTTACCGCGTCCACCTTGCCTCTCAAATGCATTCGCTGTGCCCTGTGTACGTTGCTCGAGCGTCTTCTCGTTGGACTCGATAAGGCCTGATGCCTTGTCTGACAGGCTGAGCGCCAGAGTCTGGAGTCTTGACAGCTCAACACCCTTTCTGAAGATGATGGCCGAGTTGACCTGGTCAAGCGCCGCGGCGAGTTCCTCATGGGAAATCATCTTGGACACAACAGCAGAGACCTTGCGCTCTGGGAGCTCAAACATGCCTGCTAGTGTGGAGATGGCGAGTGTGTCGTAGAAAGGAGCGTAGGTGAAGAGATATGTCCGCAGACCCTCTTCTTGGATCTGTGCAGACAGCATCTCCTTGATCTTTTCCGAGTTGGCCATGAGCTCCCAAATCTTGATTGAGTTGATAAACTCGGCAGCCTTCTTCCACTCTCCAGCAGACAGCGCCTTGGATGCTTGCATGACGTGGTCGCGCGTGTTCTCAGGAGGGCCAGTGAAGATCTGGCGCTCATGGTACTCTAAGAGACGGCGGTATGTCTTGCTGATTACTCGCTTCCTTAGGTCCGGTGATGAACCAAGTTGTGCGAGCAGAGGAATCTCAAGCAACATGGAGCAGGTCAGGTAGACGCACTCTAGTAGCTCAAGGTTGATGTGCATGTGGAACGGAAGCTGTCGTTGGCGCTCAAGACGCTCCTGTTCGGGTGAGATTTGCGAGTAGCGCTGCATTTGCAGACCTTGTGCGAGAAGCTCCTTTTGCCTGTTGCTGCCGCAAATCTCTTGCAGTGAGGTTTGCGCCTCGTAGACCAGTCCGGCACGGAAAGCGCAGAGACCGACTTGGACGAGCGCACGGTTGAACAGAATCTGAGTGTTGACGTCAAAGTTGCTGATAGTCTCCTGCAGATGGGACATGAGCATCATGTCACGGGCCTTGTAGTACTGGTCGTGCAGAGACAGGAAGTAAATCTGGCACAGCATCGCACGAGCGCGGATGATGCCCTCACTGTGACGGAAGAGGTATGTGCACAGAGTCTGAACCAGCGAGGCAGTGTCATTGGAAATGGAACGGGGAGTGATCTCCGAGTCGAGGCTGTCGGGAATAGCCTTCCATACGTTGTTCTCGAGGATGGTGATGACTTGCGAGGGCTGCAGACGTTAGCTAAATCATTATTTGCATGCTCAAGTAGGTGCATACCTTGAAGTAGACGTGCTCCAATCTCCGCATGACAATACGGTTCAGTGGCTCTTGGGGCAGTTCTAGGCTAGGGTTCTTCTTCAACTTCTCGACATACACCAGGGTGCGCACAAGCTGAGCATACAGGAGGGCCTCGTCGGTGAGGCGCTCAATGTACTCAGAGGTATGCGGGTCAATGTGCTGGAGGGAGCGAGTGAGCTCGTCATCGAGCCTCTCAACGAATGAAACAATGCTGCCAGGGATGCGGAAGATCTCGCCTGGTGTAATGGTAGGCAGCTTCTCGTCATCCTCCCACTCCTCGGCGTTCTCAATGACAACAATCTCCTTGCTGTCCTCAAGAATCTGCAGCAGCTTGCCAAATTCTTGGTCGGCACTGGATCAAAGTCAGCGGTCAATTCATTGCGAATCACTCAAGGCACACTCACAGCTTCCATTGATCCTGGTGCATGTGGCTGGCAGTGCCAGATGTCAGGTCAAAGCGGGTAGAGATGAGAGTCAAAAGAACGCGAATCCTCTGGTAGTCGTTGATGGCCACGTCGAACAGCTTCTCCAGTGTCCTGATGTGCTCGAGCTTGTCCGAGTTCTTGCGACCACGCTGCTCGACAATGGCGCGGAGGTGCTTGAGAATGCCCTCAGGTGTGTACAGAACAGCCTTGCCACCAGCACCGACAGTGATGAAGCCATCGTCTGTGGCTTGGTCCACGACCTCGGGGGCGAGCTGGGGAATCTTGTTCTTCTTCTTCTTTTCCTTTGGCGCCTGAACAACCTCCTCTTCCTCCTCGCGCATAAACTCCTCCTTGTTCTCCCGGTACGCATTGATGTCCTTTTCGTAGTCACGGTTGTGCTTCTTGATCTTCTGGCGCACAGCGTTGAAACCACGGCCGTTGACGGCATTCATCTTCTTGGGCGTGACCTTTTGCTTCTCGTGCGTCTCGATGACGGCCGTCTCGAGGTCGGCAATGGCCTGAATGTATAGCTTGGGGATCTTGCCATCGTTCTGCTTGATCAGGGTAGGCACCTGGCGGATGAGTTTGTCGAATTCTGTATGCGTCCATGTCAGCACATCTGTCCCACTGCCCCGCCAAGACGCACATTCCACATACGCTCAGAAATGACTGCCCAGTCGTTGATCCTCTGCGCATTCTCGATCAGGCGAATCGTCGCCTCGAGTTCGTCGAAGCGCTTGTCTTTGGCGCTCTTTAGCACCTTGTTCACATCCTCGTCGTCGCTCTCGCTCTCGCTGTCAGCGTCCTTCAAGAACCTGGCGGCACCGAGATCCGAGCCAGAGTCTGAGGAGTCGTCGTCATCGGAATCATCGTCCGAGTCCTGCTCGCTGTCCTCCTGCTCAGACTCCTCGTCGTTGGAGTAGAGCTCCTCCTCGCTGGACTCGTCCGAGGAGCTGTCGCTGGCGGCAAAGAAGCGGGACGCCATGGTTGCTGGTCTCGAGAGTGGGAATTTGCCCGAGGGATCGAGGGGGGGTTTTGTATGGGTGGCGGGCGCCGTGTGGGTTTACAGAGAGTCACTTTCTGCCCGCGTTGCTGCAACTTTCCAACCGAATTTCGAGCCAGCGCTAAGCCATGACTGTGTGCCCCGCGCCTAACCCAATGTGGACGCGAACCTGCCTTCCCTCACCTCAGAGGCACAAGGCACCAGGCATATCGCAGTCATCTTATGAAGATCGAATGTTAATAGCAAAGTTTTTTTTTTATATTTTCAACAGTTTCCGTCTCTGTTTCCTCCTCCAGCATCGCCATCATGTATTTCATCAGAATAATTAGATCCAGCACAAAACTCGGGACTAAATATCAATACACAATAACAAGCCCGCATTCAAGGCGCACACCAAAGCAAACGCGCAGTGCTACAACAACTGGCATAGCCAAAACAAGCGTTTTTGTCAGGGAAAGAGGGTACTGCTAGAATTACACACACTTGCCGCCGTCCACCACATCCTTCACCTCTGGTATCACCATTTCCAGGCCACCCACATTCTTATTTCCTCCTGTCACATGTGGGAACCAGTCCATCCTCTGTCCAGGTAACCGTCCGATCAAAGGCGCTACCAACTTACCACGACGGTCGATCTTTTTGGTGCAATCTGCAGAAGTAATCACGCTGACTCACGAGCGCCCGTTGCGAAATCGTGCAAAGCCAGTTGAGTGGGCTGAGCATCGCACGCAGTATGGCGCCGTATGGCCTCCTGCAAACCGGCGTGAACAATGGTGTGGCCCGCGCGGTCCCTCCGAGTTGTGCCCCTCGCTTCCATAGCTTCTTTATTCTCCTACTCATACCATAGACAATGTTGCTGACCAACGAACTCTGAGGGATGGGAAAGGGGGATATCAACAAGAAATCAAAACGCCGCATCTCCGTGTTGCACACAGCGCCTTTTCCCGTCTTTGTGTATCAGTGCAACAATCCAGCTCATCATTGCCAGTGGTTTTGGCCCACAAATCCTTCTTCGAGTGTGCGGTCTTCGAGATTGCGCACAAAGTTGTGGTTACGGTTCGAGTTGCCCGCCCGCGATCCTCTTCGCCTGGCGCTGCTTGCGCTCTCTGGTGCGCCATCAGGTGGAGGTGGGTAGTATGCCGGTGATGGTTGTAGGCGCACAGGCGCATTAGGGTCCAAGTGGCTCATAACCCTCTGCAGCGCAGGTGGAATTCCTGACTGCCCAGACTGTTGCTGATCCATTGTCGTTGCCCTTTGTCGTCCGGCACGAGTCGTGGCCTGCGCATACAGATTTTGAGGTTGGTTATATTGCCGCGGCTGTTGCGGCTGCATCATGTTCATGGGCTGACCATATTGTGCTGCCTGGGAGGGATAAGGTGGCGGTGCACCTTGATGGTTGGGTGTGTACATGTTGTAGGGATTTTGCTGAGCTTGCGGGCTCTGTGCGGCAGCGTATTGGTTCATCTGCATGTTTGCGTAGGCGGCATGTTGGGCTGCCTGCGCTTGTTGCTGCTGCGCGACCGCTTGCTGTTGCTGTTGTTGTCGCTGTCTGCTCAAGCCCTCGTATCGCTGTTGTTCTTGAACACCCGGTGCTGGCGATCGGCTTGAGCTGGACTTGAGTGTCATTGGAGGTACGAATGGCCCAGTAAACTTGGCCTGTGTGATAAACGGATGAAGCTTCGCCTGAGCGGGGGTCCAGCGTTCGAGGGGATTGAGGTTTAGCAATCCCTGGGCGAAATCGATAAAGGCAGCTCGGTTGCCCATTTCTACCACGTGTTAGCTGTAAAGTTGAATATGGAATTGATGCTGCTCACCTCGCTCGATCTCGTTGGGCTTCATATTCTTCCGCGGCATGGGATAGTTCTTGATAATGTCTGGCAGGGTTGTGGCGGAGAAGTACTTTTTGCTAGGCTGCTCCTTGGTTCCATGCTCCCTGGAATACTGCTCCATGGACTTGAGCCGGTACTGTTTGCGACCGTACTCATCCTGTGACTTTTCAAAAAACTCTCCAGACTGTTTGCCCATTTCTAACATCCAATGTGGTGGTAGTCCGAGCATCTCTGTTATCCGCGAAACCTGGTTGTATTCGGACGAACCTGGGAAAAGTGGCAGACCGAGGAACAGCTCGACGACAATGCAACCCAGTGACCACATGTCGATTGCTGCCGAATATGGTAGACCAAGCAGAACTTCTGGTGACCGGTAAAATCGTGATTGGATGTACGTGTACACAGTTTGGCGTTCGTCGCATGCGGAACCGAAATCGATAATCTTGATGATTGGGCTTTCAAGGCTGTCATGCTGTTAGATACTTCCTCACATATAAAGACTAGTGTACGCACTTTTTCAGAAGAATGTTCTCAGGCTTCAAATCACAATGTATGAGTTTGGCCTTTCCAAGCAGTGCCAATCCATTGATCAACTGCTGCGCAAAGACGCGCACCAGGGTTGTTGACAATCCGCGGAACTGATTCTGCTTGATCAGTTCGTAGAGGTTGACACTCAGCAGCTCAAAGACCAGACACAAATGTTGCCTGTGAATAAAAGTGTCCTTGAGTCTCAACAGGTGGTGATCATCGTTCTTATCCATCTGCTTGTTCAACTGCGTCTTGTTAGCAGCTGCCTGCAGTATTCTGTAAGGACGCAACCTACCAAGTCAAGTACAGAAACCTCCATCATACTCTGATTAAAGTATGCTGTCCGGTTCTTGATCACCTTGACGGCTACTACCTCCTGTGTCTTCAAGTTCTGGCACTTGACGACCTGTCCGAATGTGCCCTGTCCCAGCACGTCCAAGATCAAGTAGCGGTTCTTGTGTCCAGACTCCTCCGATCCCAAAATGTCGTTGACATACAAAATGTAATCACTGTCCTCGTTGTCATAACCGTCATTCTTGACTCCTTTGCTCGGCTTGGTAAGGACGCGACGGGGATTTCGCGACGATTGGTAATTGAATCCACCATTGCACAGCTTGTACGTCATGGGCAGATGAGCAGTGAGAGCTTGGAGGGGCTGTTTGTTCAATCATGTCAGTGAAGTTTTGCTGTTCATACATGGAGTAATACATACACTGATGAAGCCTCCCTCTGGGTTGGCGCGACGGAATGGCGGTTGGGCATTGATCTTGGGCTGCAAGTCGGCAGTGTTGGAGACTTTTTCGAACTTGGGAACCGGTCCTCGTCCAATGGGCGGCAGATGGGGAGGATTCGAGTTGGAATTGGAAGTCGCGCGCGGTGACCGGTTATCTCTGTTGTAGACAGCATTCAGCTGTGCAGTCGCAGACTGCGGGTAGAAGCTCTCTTGGCCCATGTTGGACTGGATGGGAGGCAGTTGGGGCGCATGTGGGCGGGAAGCTAGAGCAAAAAGACAATCAGTATACGAGGGTGTTTAAAGAAATCAGGCTTGGGCAGGCAACGCTCGACATACATGGCGGAGAGTAGTAGCTGCTGGGCGGCGACATGTAGGGATTGTTGCGCGTAGGGCTCTGGCGGCTGGCCTGTGTCTGCGCCTGCGCTTGGGACTGGGACTGAGGGGTAAAGCTGGTGTAGCTCTGACCACCCTGCTGCGGGTTGCCCGAGTAGGGCGATGTGGGGGAGAGGTTCATGGGCGAATATCTGCGCGCAGCAGCACTCTCCTCTTGCTGGATGAACTGCTGCGAGTGGCGCTGCTGCTGGGTTGGGCGCGCAGCATTGAGCCTTGGCTTGTAGGCATCCTCCATGGGCACGTCACCATCGCCGTCGTTGTACTCGGGGCGGGGGCCTGCAGCGGCGGCGGCGGCAGCACCAGCACCGCCAGCACCAGCGGGCGATTGCATGGCGATTGAGTTCTGGCGGGAGGGGGTTGCATAAGCGTCCTGCTTCATCTGCGACGACACGCTGGCATCCCGCGAGGCATGCGGGGGCGATTGCATCGAGTGCGAATATCGGGCGCTCGGGGTGTCTGAGTAGGCCGTCCACTGGGGCTCCATGACGTCGGGGCGGTGGGTGGGCGGCAGTTGGGGTTGGGCGACGGAGTCGCGGCGGGAGACGAGATTGAGCGCTTCACTGGAAGCGGAGCATGCCGATGGACGTGGAGCCTGTGAGGGAGCGGGTGGTTGATGGGTGGTGGTGGTCGTGGGCGTGGGTGTCGGGGTTGACGTGGTGGTGGTGCTATGGCAAGAGGTGGTCCAGGGTACACGGCCGAGACGAGACGGGGAGGGCGCGCCAGTCCCGTCTAGGAGGGTCGAGGGCAATAGTGCGTGTGGACGTGTAAGAGAGTGTGAACGAGGGAGAGAGAGAGAGAGGGAGAGAGATAAGTCGGGTGTGGCTGTTGCGGGGTGTGTCTACGTGGTCAGCGGCAGCGAGGATGATGGGCTGGAGTGCTGCTGCTGTGACCCGAGGCAGAGAGGCCGTAGAGGAGCAAGACGAACGAGGCGCACCCAGGGCAATATTCACACCGGGTCAAAAGGATGGTATGGCAGAGGTCAGCCGTACCCGAAGCGCTGAGGTTGGCGCCGTTGCAACCTCGATGGATTGGGCTTCTCTGCTTGGTCACGCTAGCGACGGATGCAGCCAACCTCTTCATGCCCTGCCACAGCTGCTCGCCCGTGGCGTCATTGCTGGGCTGGCTGTCTCCAGCAATACGACAGTGCTAGTAGCAATACTGCTACGACTAACTCGACGACTTACTACTCCTGGCCTGCTACCAGCAACAGCCACACCGATGGCCTTGGGCAGCCATGCCAATTGCCGCAAAAGGTCGCCTTGTGCGCGTCACTGCGGCTGAGATTGGTACCCACACATTCCTTCATTCCATTGTGCCGCCCACCCTGCTCCAGCAAGGAACCATCGCGACCGCAAACATCTCGCGACCCCACATGCAAACAACGTCTTTCATAAAGTCCAGCATAACCTTCTCTGCCCAGCCCCAGAACCGCTTGTCGGCACGCAACAGCGCAGACAACCAAGGACCTAGTGACATCAGCAAACACGACCGTAACCTGTAATGAGACTTTTGAAAAAAATCATCACACATCATCAAGCCAAGACCTCATTCCTCAGCGTAATCATTGGCGGAAAACAAACAATTGCTGTCATCATTATCGTCGTCGTAGCAGCCATTGGGCATCAACCTCGGACATTTTCTGCTCTCTCTCATCTTACTCGCGCACCTCATACCCACCCAACACATGGCCGTTATCCCACTTTGCCGGCTTCTCAAAGAGACTCCTCACCATCTCGCCTCCCCTGGTCGCCAGCACCGAAAGCAACGTGTCACTCAGCTATGCGCGTCGTGTTAGCCAAACCCAATGCAACAGGGGGAAGGTGGGAAAAGTGAAATGGAAAGGAAGAACAAGGACAGGGCAAAACTTACACCATGCGTACTCTCGCAGCATCCCTGCAGCCAAACCCCAGCATCCTCACCCACGCTCTTCTCCGTAAAGTTGACCCGGTAATCCCTCTGCACCTGCCATTTGGCACCCTCCAGCTCGCCCCCAGGCATAAGGTGTCTGGCGTCCTTGAGCAGCGTCTCGTGCAGGTCCCGCAGGTAGCCCGTCGCAACAAAGACGGCATCAACGTCCAGCGTCTCCTTGCGTTCCTGACCCCCAGCTTGCTCAGAAAAGTACAGCGCACTCGAGTCCTGGACGTGCAGACGCACCCCGCCCTGGCATACCGGCGAGTCCGTCACGTCCACCACCCGTCGGTAGGGTAGGATACGGTGAGGCCAGTGGGCTTCTTCGGCAGGCGAGTTGCCATAGCGGATGCGCTGCATGTACAGAGTCTCGTAGATGTGCTCGAGGAGTCCCAGTCGCACGACGCCGTAATTTGTGCCCTTGTCTTCGACTAGCGTTGTTGCGCGCAGCTTTGGCGCGCGGTTGTATGTGCAGTCGGTCCGCGAGGGGTTGAAGATCTCGTTCACGCTGGTGTCGGTTAGTTTCGTCTCTGCTATACACACACGCACATTCACAGTGCATGTCAACTTACAATGGTGAATCATCACTGGGTCGCAGTGCGCCTCCCTTGATAAGTAGTCGTGTGCGTGAGTTGGGGTAATTTGCGTGTAAAAAGTCAAAGATCTCAGCAGCGCTCTGGCCGTTACCAATCACGACAATGTTGTAGGGTGCATCGTGGTCCTTGAGAAGCTGCTTGGACATGTACGAGAATTTAGACGAGTGGATGACTCTGGGGTGGTTGGTAGGGAAAGGCGCGGGGATGTTTGGCCTGCCTCCCGCAGCAATCACCACATGCTTTGCTCTCCGCGACTCAGTGCGCCCTGTGAGGTGGTTTTGCGAGATGACGTTGAAGCTGGTGATTTCTCCGCTGGCCGACTTCTCAGGCATCACCTTGACCACTTCCTGGCTGTATGCCACTACCTCTTCGAACCAGCTGGCGCACCACTTCATATAGTCCTCGTACTCGACACGTGCAGGTAGAAACGTGTTAAGGTTGGCAAACTCGACCAGGCGATCCTTTTGGTGCAGGTAGTTGAGAAAGGTAAACTCGCTGCGCGGGTTGCGCATAGTTGCCATGTCCTTCATAAAAGTGATTTGCATCTTTGCACCTGGTAGCAGCATACCGGCGTGCCATGCAAACTGCGGCTGCTTCTCCAGGAAAGCAACTTTTGGCGGTCTGCTCTGGAGGCCCTGAACATCAGATAGCGAGGCATCTGTCCCGTCGAGCGCATCGTGCAAAGCCACGCCAATGGCCAGCGACGCCGGGCCAAAGCCAACGCAAATCATGTCGTGCAGCTCGTCTTGCGGGGTATATCGAAGGTGCGATCGGTTCTCCAAAGCGGGGAACTGGCTCTCATCAATGTTGTCTGTCAGGAAGCCATTGAATGCCTTTTGCACCGCTGGAGCTGCACCGTCTGGCGAGCCTGACGACATATCGACGTGAGGACTCATTGTTGGGTATAGTAGGTGTGTATAGTAGCACTGTTGGCTGTCAGTTTTGGTTGCCCATGTTGCGAAATCGCGGCTCGTGCTGTCAAACCAGCAAAAGTATCGAGTGACGTACCTTGGTTCCTTGTCACGGTGACTTGAACGCTGGTTAAAATGCGTGGATGTGTGGATGAGGGGTCAGTCACTCCGCACGTTAAACAGGAACCTAGAGCGCTATAGGTACAATCGCAAGCTGTCAGCGATTTTTTATCATATCAGATGGATTGAACAATGACGTCTACACTCGACGCGAACAAACGGCACGAGTTTGCGATGGAGACAACTTACAAAGTTGGCTACGTCCCAGATACACACTCTCTCAAGTGCAAGTTGGTCGAGACAAAGAGCTGTCCTTCTACTCGTGATATGGGAAGTGAAAGTAACAGCGGTGGCCATTGTTTCTGTATGTATTGTAGGCCGGGCGAGGGGACCACGGCCAGCCGTGCCCAAGACCCGTCCTTGGGCGTAGTTTGGATCCATGTCTCCATCCCAGGGCCCCATGCAGCCCACTCGTCAGACAATGGTCCGATGTCTTTTCGTAGCAAAATGAAACTAGCTTTGGATGTAGAAGGACCCTTGCGGGCCGGGCGCCAGGCAGAGAGTTGCAGTTGTGCCACCAGAACTGGCGATTCGCTAGCCCAAGCGTGATGGATGGCCGAAGCCGCCCCCCATGTCACTGATCTTCCGACACACACCATCTGATAAGATGAGTCTCCTGCTCTCCCAAGACAAACCCCCGATATGACCACGGAACGCCCCGGACGCGCATCAAGCGTGCAAAAAAATTTTCTTTCAAATGTCGCCCCGCAGCGCTTGACCCCGTCTTTACTAGAAAAGTGCGTATTGGGCGTGGGGTGCAGTGGGTAATCATCCCAGCAAGTGTGTCTTGGCTGATGAGAATTATCAGATGGAAAATCATCAGTTCATCTGATTAGATGAAGAGATTTCGCCCGCCCGCCCCTCGGACCGCCCTCGGCCTTTGCGCCTTGGGCTGCCTCATACTACACACTAACTATTGCTCCTAGAGTCCCCCTTCGATGCGTGTGCGTGCGTGCATATGGTCGGACCTATTGCTCGCCTTGGGCTAGCTACATGTACTGGAAACCGCTGATCGCTCTGAATGCATAAATGCCGTCCTGCCTGCGGGCTGACCCTGATGACGAAGGAGGCGTTCAGGGACTGACCCTTTGCCAACACTCAATTGCCTTGGGTTGCTGCCTTTGTATTAGAAAAGGTAGAATGAATTTGAATGCTTGAGCAGATCCACAACCGCATTGCTGTAGCACGTGCATACATGTGACCATGAATCCTAGTCAGTGGCATGCCGCAGTATGTACTTGGATTTGGCCAGCCCCAATAGTCTACTGTATGCTCCAGACCCACTTCAACCAAGTACGTACACAATTAGCTGTATTTCCGGTAATAGCCTAGACATTAGTGCCAAAACATGTCGGTCAAACCCAAGCGCTTGTCTACTGCACAACAAGGCCGATGCATGGTGGCCAAGATGGCCGTCTGTTTGATATGCCTACAAGCCTATCTCAACACTATCTAATACCTGATCAACTAGCAACATGGTCCGCCGGGTGTTTGTGCAAAGAACAAAATAGGAAAACTAACAGACAGGAAAGAAATACCGGGATACCGAGCTACATGTATATAATACAATCCATACTGATGTACAGATATCCAAAAAAAATATGGCACAACCTTGCTATGTGGTAAAAATTGGGTTTGATGACAAACGCTTAGTCCAGCTCCTGCGTAGCAACCATGCCTGCATAGATGCCTCCTAGGGCCACAAGCTCCTCGTGTCTGCCCTGCTCAACAATTCGTCCCGCATCAAACACAAATATGCGATCGGCATGTTGTACGCTTGCCAGTCGATGGGCAATCATAATTGTCGTTCGACCCTTTGAAGCAGCAGCAATCGCTCTCCTGATGTCCCTCTCCGTGTTAGCGTCAAGCTGCGATGTTGCTTCATCGAGCAGTAAAATTTCCGGATCACGGATGAGTGCTCGGGCGATAGCGAGACGCTGGCGCTGGCCGCCAGAGAGCTTGGAACCATGCGCTCCAACCTCGGTGTTATAGCCTTCTGGTAAACTCATGATGAAGTTGTGCAGTTCGCACTCTTTGGCCACACGCTCTATGTCTGCATCGCTACTGGTGGTACCTGGGCGATCACCAAGGCCAATGTTGAACTTGACTGAACCGGGGAAGAGGTCTGGCTCTTGCTCCTACTCGGGTCAGCCACCCTATCTCAGAAGAGTGAGGGATGATTCTTATATCAACTTACCACTAGTGCTAGACGGGCGCGGTGGTCACGAACAGGTTCTTGGCGAATGTCTTGACCATCGAGATACACTTGCCCAGACGTTGGATCAAAGAATCGTTCTATCAGATGAATCGTACTCGATTTGCCAGCCCCTGCGACAAAATCAGTCATTATCTTACCATCTTTCGAGAATCTCTTACCTGAACGGCCAACGAATGCCACGTTCTCGCCTGGTCGTATCTGAAAAGACACATCATTCAACGCAGGGACAGTCGGCCGACTCTCATAATGAAGGCTGACATTACGGAACTCGAGTTCTCCTCGAACGCCAAAAGTACCGTATGAAGCTGAAGCTGTAGACTCAGATAACAGACCCACAGTATCTGGTGTGGTATTTGTCGGCAAAGACGTGCACTCTGTCATGATCGTGGGCTTCTCATCATGCAGTGAAAATACGCTCTGCGCGGCAGCTTTTGCACGTGTCACTTCTGGTGCCAGACTGAACAGCTGGCCTGCAGATTGCGCAGAAAACAGCAACGCGGGAAGTACAATAAAAAAGTCTCGTTGCGTGTAGTTGCCACTGCGTACTTGTTTAGAGCCCCTAGATAGCGTTAGCATATGAGTTGCATGATGTGTATGGGCACCACTCTTTCGATTGGCAATAGCAACAGGAAATGATGTTACTTACCACCAGTAGGCCAACGAGTACACAAAGTAAGTAATTGACAAGGAAAATGCAAACAAAATATTGCCAAGCATGCTAAATCGAAGATGTTCTTCGTACGGTTTCCGTATTGCTTCCCTATAGGCTTGGAAGAAGTGCTCTTCAAGGCCAAAGACTGCGACAATCTGCATCGAAGATGTTGCCTCAGATGCCAGGGCTGCCGCTCCATTATATGCAGTTTGGTGGTGGTCCTCTGCAATAGCCAAAATGCGAAGACGGAGGAAGCCAGCGAGAAGCATGACAGGCACGGCTGCCAGTAGCACTATAGCAATCTTCCACGCTACAATATGAGCTAGAATGATGCCACCAACCACTGAAGTCGCGATCGAAAATATCGTCCCAAGTATAACACCGGATAGTCCGCTGATGCTTCCGCTGTCAGAGTTTAGTCGTGACATGAGCGCATGGTGAGAATGTCCAGGCTTGGAGAACCACGCAATGTCCTGTTGCAAGATGGTCCGGAAGGAGAGGTCTCGGACTCGCAGAGTAAGGTTTTCGGACACAATACCGAAAGCCGTCTTTCCAAAAGAGTGAGAGGCCAAAGCAACAATGGCCAGAATAAAGAAGAGTAGACAGTAAAATGAAATTTGGCGCGTGGTATCGTCAGACCCGCTGGTGTCGTTCAGAAGTTGTACCAGATTTCCAAAAATGAGCGCCTCTCCAATGATAACCGCACCACTAAACACTGAAGAAAATAGACCGAGGGCAATCGCTGGTGCTTCACGGCGGCTCAACGACAACGATCTCCCAATCAGCTCCGCAGCATTCATTTTGCGCTGATTGCCCGTTTCGCTCGAGCCTCTCGAATCTTGTTCCTCAACATCGTTTGGCACTCGCTCATCTTCCGTGTGAGAGTGTCGTATACTAGAACGTGAAGATGAAACAGCAGATGGGCGACCTTTCTCAAACTGCTGTGCTCTGATAAGTTCGGCATATATACCGTCTCTTTGTTGAACAAGAGATTCATGATTTCCATCTTGCTCAATAGTGCCGTCCCGCATCACGATGATACGATCCGCATCCTTTACAGTGGCAAGTCGATGCGCAATGATGATGGTGGTTCGGCCGGTCGCAGCTGAGGAACGTCGCAGATTCTCGAGAACTACAGCCTCGCTTGTGGCATCCATTGCGCTTGTGAATTCGTCTAGAAGAAGTAGGGATGGGTTCCTGACCAATGCGCGGGCAAGAGTAATACGCTGCTTTTGGCCTCCAGAGAGCTGCGACTGCGGGCCAGTTCCAATCTTGGTGTGGATTCCCTCGGGCAGACGCTCCAAAAAGTCGCAGTATGCTTCGGTTGCCGCTGTCTGACATCGAGAAAGAATTTCATCTTCTGTAAGATGTTGAAGTTCTCCCTGGGGAATACCGTGCTTGATGTTGTCAAGGATAGATCCAGTGAAAAGTACCGGATTTTGTGTGACAAGTGCAATATGTGAGCGTAAGCTGTGAAGGTTGAAGGACTTCAAATTATCCTTCCCAAGGCTAATGTTGCCATATGTGGGATCGTACAGCCGCAAGAGCAAAGAGGCGATGGTAGACTAATAGTTGGATAATGTTAGCATGTTCTTTCATGACTTTACGGAACAACTTGCTTACCTTTCCAGATCCTGATGGACCAACAAGGCCCGTGACTTGCCCAGGCTTGAGACGCAGATCAACACTGTCAAGGATACGAACGGTAGGCCGAGCAGGGTAGACAAACAAAACTGCCGAGAGCACCAACTCTCTCTCAAAATGCACTTTTTGGGCTGGCTTCCCCTTAGCAGAGTAAACGTCGATCTCGGAAGTGGGGTGATCCAGGACATCCAGTACTGCAGCTCCAGCAGCAGCAGCCATTGTAAATGTTTGTATAAAAGGTCCAAAAGAACCAACGACAAAGGAGGCATCTAGAATGAGAAAAACGACAGCGTAGATAGTTCCTGCTTCAGCGCTGCCATGTCGTAGGTGATCGCCATACCAGAATGCAAG